ATAATGTGTGGATATTCCTCTTCATGTTATACTCACTTTCTGTCTGTCTTTTTTGCTTTGTTTTACAGTTGTATTGACAATTGGTTCCAGGTGAACAGGTCATGTCCTGAACATCCAACAGATTAGTAATGTGAGTTTTATTTAACAATTGGTTCATACTTAGGGTGTGTACATGGAGCTAAGGATGCACACGGGAAGTTTAGTGAGCATGAGAGAAGCATATGAGCTACTTGTTGGGGTCATTTGTGATGTTCACTTTGGGAAAACAGTGCCTACATGTAATCCTTGCTTCAGGGTATCAAAAGGTTCTAGCAAACTCTCTTTCTTCCCCTGGGTGTGTCCTTAAAAAGGTTTGATGAAATTGAGAAAGTGTGGAGTCAGATTCATGAATTAATGAAAAGAGTAGGCAATGGCTGCCAGCCATACTTTTGAATGCCCAAATGTATTTATTTAGTACTGTTGTGTGAAGCTTGCTTTTCTTGTAATCATTCTGCTCAAGGTAACTGGCCCTATCAGACATCTCTGAAATAATAAAAATTACATGACCCTCTGAGCAAGGAGATGCCTAATCACAAACTTGGCTGTCATGTGATTCGAGGTGTGGGAATTGATGCTGGATCACAGTGGCAGAAAGTGAGCCCCTTTGCCACCGTGACATAAAAGTTTGTACTTGTTAGCAATGTAGCAAATTAAAGGTAGTCTCCTGCATTTGAAAATAACTACAGTAATATAAGTAATTTTTTGCTTAAAGTGATGTATTTTTTTTCTAGGCTATGCACTTTCCTCAAGAATTTGCAGAATATGACAAGTTTACAGTAGCTTAGGTATCGTGGTGTTTTCAAACAGCATTGGAATTTGGACCATTAGGAGAAGAAGCTGATTTGCTGTTTATTGAAAGTAGTGCCTTTCTCATAGATGATTTTTTTTGTTATTGAAACCTGTGCTGAAGGCAATCCAGTTCAACCTCAATCCCATGGCAGCAAAATGTTTTGGCAACATTTTTGATTAATGGGGAGCACTAAATTTGGTTTCTTAAATTAACTCTGGGTGTGTTCTACAACTGTGTGCTACAAGAGGCCTTTTGTAGGAAAGGTGGAAAGCAAATAATATATTTTCTGGACTACAACTAAAACACTTTTTTTAGAATACTTGCAACTTTTAGGAAATAGATAAGACTGTTTCCTTGTTTTATAAATTCAGTGGATAAAATGTCGTGTGTTATTGGTATTGCATGAGGTAGGCCCTTCACAAAATTATTAGGTTAAATCATATCATTCACGAGTAGCACACAAAAAAAGTTGTTGTCTTGCTGTGTTGTGGTTTTGCAATAAGAACAGTGTTGTTGCTTTTTGGCTGTACAGCAGCTGAATATTATTTTAACATGTAGATGTATATGTAGATATATTTTAGTAACTATAATTGCTATTCTTATAGATTTAAAATTGATATGTGACACAATTCTATGATCAGGACTACCACTCATTTTGCTGTTCCCTGAAGAAAAGCTGGACAAAGTTTAAATTGAAATTTTTTTTAAAATTCCAAACATCCTCATGAGGCATTAAGATAGGTAACACTAGAAGGCCATTGCTACAAGGTAAAAATTATCATCAGTTGGCAATATTTTCAGGTTATATTTCTTTGGCTATATCTGATCATTTGTTGCTTATCAGGTGCAATTATAAATGCCATTTGTTTCATCTGTTATGTACAATTTCTATCTTATTTCACATTACGCTTCATCAATCTGCGATTTTTAAACAATTGTAGAAAAAATTTCACTCTAAAGAATTTAAACAATGCTGAGTGGAGGTAAAATTGTTGAATTTTTTCCTGTTGATTTATTAATTACAGAACATGTATTTTATTTTTGTATTTAAAACATTGTTTTTAAAAAATCCCCAATGAATACTCCTTTGACCACTGGGATTGACTGGCATCTCCCTACAATATCACCCCTGAATCAGACATTAAAGTAACAAGAGTGAAGGAAATCGTCACCATGTAAGGGAGCTCTTGATTTTTAAACAAATTCTCCTTGTCAGCACCTTAGGAAATGTATGTAGAACAGTATGGAGAATATATACAATGATGTTAGGGTGTGAAGGGTCAAGGAACTAAACATGGTGGTACCTGTACTAGGAGCTTTGAAGAAAAAGCAATAAGTAGCAATAGGTCTGATGCTTTGAACTTGAATGGCATACTTAGCAAGCTTCTTCAGGGTGAAACACTAAGAAAAGGGGTTAGTTTTTAAGGGGCAATAGCATAAGTATTTCTCAAACTGGAAAACTACTATAAGCTGAAATGGCAAGGCTTAAGAAAAAACAAAGAAATGTTTAAAAATCCCGAACTGAATGTCATAAAATAGGAAAGCTAAAAATTGCAATTTATTATGAAAGTAAAGATATGAAGTGTGTCATAGCTCACCAAAGCTGAAGTACTCTTCACCCCATAGCCTGGTTCATAGAAATCTTAAGGTCACTTTCTGCACTCCTGCCATAAGAAAGTAAATTTTGACTGTCCAAGAATCTTGCTTTGTGCTTCTACTCTCCAGTCATCCTGTGCCTTAGCTTCAGCAATTGTTTAACAGGTCATGTTATCTCTTTGCTTTGTTATTCCACTTCAGAATTTCACTAGTTGTTTTAGTAGGTCGCGTATAGCATTGCATGCAATGAGTTGACCATTGAAATATAAAGAATTTGCAATATCATTTGAAATTTCCTTTTCTCTCCAGTGATTCCTCTCTCTTCAGATACAATGGTTGAAATATGTTCTTGAGTAATTTTCTCTTTGTTTTACAATACAGTTCACATTATTTTGGATTCATTCAGCGGGCTTCCTCTAAGATAGCTCATAGGGAAGTGAAGCACATTTCCTTGAGAGAATTAACCACAGTTTAATAAAGGAAGATGTAGTTGCTAAAGCTTACAACAAAAGCCTGGATCAGTTGATAAATATGTCAATTAATAACGTGGTATAACTCATTCAGGATAATTGATATAGTAAACCACCACAACAACCAAACTCAAACATTTCCGATTCATTCCACAGAGTTTAATGAAACGTCAAAGTACCTTTATCTCAGTACTGTGTATAGCAGAGAGGCTTTTTAATTTTAGCAGATATTTACTTGTATATAATTAGACCCCAGATTTGTTGAGTGTTATCAACTAGTTATTGTACACTAAATAATGTACCTCCTGTAGGCATAATGCATTTAGTAACATGTTTTAAAAGGTGCTTTTAAACGATGGTTAAATTATTGTGCAACCTCGTTAAATTTTCAGAAGATAATTAAAAATAATTGCTATTGCTTTGGCTTCTGGAATGTAAAAAATAAAGGAAACGTTTGAAAATGTTGTTGAGAGCTTTAAATTAACCAGACATTTATACTTAACAAGTTGTCAATGATTTCAATGACTGAGGATGAATTTCATTTTGAAGGAGTGGTCCTTGGTTTCCAAATAGTGGTGTGCGGCTCGGTTCTCCAAATCTTCACCTTTTTCATTTCAAAACATTCCTTTTTTTCACAACCGTTTTCCGTCCTGCTGACCTGAAGACCAGTTTTCAGATTTAGTTGAGTGCCATAACACTTTGTTACTCAATGAATTTTCGCATGATTGCTGCAAGTCGTCCCTTGTGAGCCAATTGGCCACTAGGAAAGTCGTAAATCTTTCTTAAGTCTTTAAAACCAATTTTGTGATGAGAAAAACTATTTTAATTTCCTCTGAGTTTCTGAAAGCAACCAGTTCGCGGAGCATGGGTGGTGGGGGAAGGGGGAAATGTCACAGAGCATCGAGCCTTTTCTCACTCTATACAAAATGATGTTGCCCCGAGCCCCCCCTTACACTAGACTGCGAACAGTCCTTCCTTTTTGCCTTAGTACTTCGCGCAGGTTAAAAAGAATCTGTTAACAAAAAAATGAAAAACGATGCCAGCAAACCGCGCGGAAATTTAGGAGCGACGCGCTAGCATCAATATTTTTTTCTCACTAATTTTCTTTGACTCGCAAGGACTTTGATTCGATGAAAAGAAAGAACTGCTCGCAGTCTATCCTGACACTTACTCACAAAATTGACACAAAATTGATTCATTTCGTGGATTATCATAATTAAAGAATCGACAGAGGGATTCATTTCGTGGATTATCATAATTAAAGAATCGACAGAGGTCAGATGATCGTGCATTGTCGAACACGGGTCAATGTTGCTGAACAGATGCATTTTCAATTCCACTAGAACCTTTCGTCTCCATTCCGGCAATAGCACACAAGATCTTCGCCTTTTTTGGGGGGTGTGTTGTTTGTCTACAAGGACGAAAACAAAGAAACAAAAACGTCATTTCAAGAGAGTATTTTTAGCCATACTCATCAAAAGGGAACTGGGTGGAATCCAATGAAATGTTACCCCTCTGTGGCCCCTTCCGCCATGAGCCTATGAAGAATTGGGCTTCTGCTTCTTTTATAAGAATTAATCAAAACTGTAACAAAAATTTCGAACGTGATTGGTTATCACCAGCCCGATTTGAACACTTAGGACAGTGTACGGGTCATGCTTGTAATTGGACGTTGTAGAAGGACAGTTAAAGGGGCAATTAACACGTCATGCCTGTGGAAGTGGAGAGAACGCGTTATGTGCGCTTTTGTCTGGCATTTCGCCGAGTTAACTAGGTGTTGTTTTTTTATGAAAACGTACTGATGTCTAGTTTCTTTTCCGAATTTTGTCATAGTTTTGATTAGTTGTCGTCCAATTCTGTCTGTAATCATACTCGTGATGGAGAAATCGGACTCCCGCTTCGCGGCCGCCCGATTTGTTAATCAGCCGTAAGATTACAGCCTGAATTGAACTCCACTCAGTCCATTAGTACTATAAATCAATACTTACGTCATAGCAGCTGCGTCAAGTCAGGCGGAGGACCAGTTCTTAACAGCCAGAAGTAAGTTCTGTTTAATTGGTAACCAATTCTCTCCGTGGAAAAGAATTCAACTGCTCTCATTATCCCAAAACGACTCAAAATTTTGTTACCACTAAAAATAACGTGAGGAGATTGGGGAGGGGGGGGGGGGAGTGCTCAATAAGGTTTTTCTCACCTTAACAGCTATTTACAACCATAGAGTTCGAATCTCATGGAGATGTACCGCTCCCATTCCATGGGAAGAACTCGAACGAAGCGAGCATCAATGACCGGGTTAAGATCGTGATACACAACTGTGTCCCTGTCTGTGTTTCCCAGGAAAACCTGCGTTAAGTGAAAAAAACAAAAACAAAAACGCGATCTAGATTCAGATACAACCGTCCTCAACTCGATTCTGACAATCATCATGATAAATTCTAATCATGGTGGTTTGGAACCAACACCTTGGTAAAACTAATCAACACCTTAGAGCTGTCCTATCATTGCTTAGGAAAAAGAGGACGTCCACAACCCGCTTGTATCCAAAGGGGGGGGAGGGGTTGGGGGCATGAGGTCTTAACGATATCCTTTCAAAATTTTCGAATGAAACTGAAACACTCACATCTCTTCGCTTCTGTTAAATTCAGAGCTTAGTGGTTTTAGAAATTTAAGATATTTGAATGTTTCCTCTGCCGAGGTATTTCTATTGTCGTTACAACAATTAATCCAGTAATACCAAGCCTTGTGTCCGCTTCGTGAGGAGCCCCTCATCATTAGGGCTGCAGCACCCGTGTTTTTCTGGCTGCAGGAAGATTTGAGGCTAGTCGTGGAGAAGTTTGCCGGGGTTTGCCGGGGTTTATCAGAACTAGCCTTCGTGTAGCCTTACCCTCTCCCCCCTCGCCTCCGTTTCACCCTGGGTGAGGGGAGGGTACGGCTACACGTAGGCTATGCCAGAACTCTTTCAGATCACTCGTAGGCTAGTGTTACACAAGACCACGTACTTTCCCACAAGTAAAGAAACGCATGCACCGAAGTACTAATGACAAGGGTCTGCTCGTAGGCTAGGTTTTTATGTAAATTATATATAAGGACGAATTTCATACTTTGTCCAAATTCTCTCCATAACTTGTGTAAAATCTGAAGGTCTTTCCATCATCGCCATATTGTAGTTTGTATTTCGTAATCCAATGGTTGAACCCAGATCTCCCTTGAGTCGCTATGCCTGTCACCCTCGTTGTTTTCAGCAAATCCACTTGAAACCACTGAGCAGTGTCTAGATATTGTGATAACCACCCCCCAGCCCTACCTCTGACCGGCGTGAAGTTTAACCTGCCATTACGCGCGCTGTATGCATAATCGTAACTTGACGAGGCGCTGATTTGCTGGTCAAGAATAACTCCGCTTTCCATGCCGAGTGGCACTTGGCACGCTGCATTGAAAAAATGATGAAAATTATTTTTTAAACAAACTACCCAGCGTAAAGAATAACTCATTTGATAAAATTAAAATTATCCTGTTTCTTAGCCTAAACTTACCTATAATTCCCATAAAGAGGCTCCTTTTCATTACTAACACGTCGTGCAAGTTTCATCGCACAGCAAAAAGTACTCTCAAATACCAGCTTCTAGCTTGTTTGAAAACCCATCCTACTACTTTGTTTGAAAAAATTCTATCTAGAAAGTGTCATGGTTACTCCCTCGTTCCCATTCATCTCTCATTCGTCCTCAGAACCTCGCCAGAGGAGAGTATGACGGGAAGGCGGCAGGCTCCGCCCACCAACCGTCAAGAGTCAAGAGTGATGTAAGATCTCGGTTTTCAGTCAAACTGAAACCTCGCTTTACATTTCCTCATTGTCCTACTTACTTTCGCAGTTGAACATTTTTAACGCATCATTGAAAGTGCACGAGCCTGCATTAAAGCAGCCGGTCAGCTGACAGTCGTTCTGCAAACATGTGTAAATAATACAGAATGAGAGTTATTGAGTCGAAATATTTTCGAATTGAATCCGATGATGACTGAAACACTAAAATATACAATATTGAATAGTTCAACAAAATTAATTTAGAAAACTATAATCCTTTTACTTCATAATTTTTTCCGCGTTTTATTTCATTCCAGTTGTAATATGTATTACCTAATCGGTTTTCAATAACTTATCCTGTTTTCATTGTTCGTTTGTACGCATGCTCCCTGAATCATTTCATTTGTTCAGTCACACTTGCCAGTGAAGAATTTATTTCAATTTTTATTTCCCTCTTACCTCGATTAGCTTCGTTATTTTGCGGGCAGGAATGGTTGGATATTTATTTTAATTGTTAAGGTAAACAAATTTCGTTAATTGTTTGTTTCTGTTGTTTATTGTCATTACCGAACACCCCGCATGTTTGAAAAAAATTGCGATCGTTGTTGAGAACAATTTATTGTTGTTGTCGGAAACTAAGTATTGTGTCGATCTAGGTACTCCAAATTAACACGCCATCATTGAACGCGAATTGAAGGCAAAATTACTTTCATGAGCAATAAGAACTAGGTGTTAAAATTTAAAAATGAGAGAATTAACATGGCCTAGTCAGTCAAACATTTCCAAAGCAACATTCATTCTTACCCAAATGTGAAAGTTCTCATCGAACTTTAAAAAGTTTTTTCTAAACGTAAAGTTTTTAGGTGAAGAAATCTCGTCGTTAGTTCGGGCGTATTGTATGCCTGGAGTTTTCGTCTTTTGTAGAAGATAAGAATCCGGCATTTATTTGTGAAAATCGTCGAAAGAAATAAATTGCTTACAACCATATGAACTCATATGGTGTAAGGTAGTCAGCAAAAGTAATCAGCTTTATCTTTAATTAACTTCTTTACTAAAATGTAGATCAGGATAAGCTTTTGTAAGTTCAAGATTAAGATCAAGGTCTTCCCGGAGAAACTGATTAATTTTCGAAGAACTGACGATTTTCAAAAGGCCGGAATCCTATGTTGTTTGTGTTACCTTCAGGTCAGAAAACTGAGTATAAATTGTTCCCTCCTCGTAATTCAGTTCTTTTTCTCCGTCGTTCAACTCACAAATTCCTTCTGCAGAAAAACTTGAACCTGCTCGGAAATTTGTGGACAGGCATCGAGGGTTTCTCTGACATCGCAAACCACATGATACCAAGCTTTCGGAGTGAAATGTGTTAAACGTGAAGCCTTTAAGCTGGCGATGATTGCGAGTTATTACCGGACGAGATAGAGAGTCTCTATTGCTAGAAATCATGTCAGATTCTCCTAAGCTAAAAGCAGAAAATGCCAAAACGACACAAACATAGATCATTCTGTATCCATGTATTTGGTGATCCAATGGCGCATACGTATCAGTCATACATTATCTTTGCGTATGTTTGCATCACGAACTACAATGTTTGAATTATCTACACTTTGATAGCGTGTTGACGACTTATCTATTGAAAGGCTACATAATGAACTAACATTACACAATTGATCAGAGTTAGATTAAATTTTATTTCCTGGTGACAAATCTAATTTATTATCTTTTTTTTCATATCTAACAAGTATCTGTGAAGTGAATTTGCAAATTACAAAACTGGTCGGTCAGAAAACGAGGCATACAGACTAGCCATCATTTATCGGGTCTCCATGGCGCTAATTGTCAGTTATCATACTTCTAATTATAATCATTAAAATTTCTTCAAAATGTGATCGGTGCATTAGCTGCTTTATTTTTCATTAATTTGTATGTACAGTTGTAATCGAACGGTGTATTCAGACAAGTGGCTGTAATCTGACACTTGTAATCGGACAGTGAAAGCGGCCAATCCTACTAAGTCCTTTTAGCTAAATCCACCAATCACAACTGATTAAAATAACCATAGCAACAACCACCTACCCTATGAAACTGGGAAATTTCCAAATGGAGTAATTATATTTTTCTTTAGACAATGTCTCCATTGGAGATATTTTCTCACATAAATGCTTTTGTTTTTTTCGTAAATTGTAATGGTTATGATTAATTGGTACAGTACTTCGTATCGTTCAATAATTGTCTGAATTCATTCTCGTGATTGACGAATTAGACTGCCGCTACGCGGTCGTCCAATTTTGTAATCATTCGTGTGATTACAGACCGAATTGGACTCCACTTGGTCCTATTACCAATACAAATTTAAGGACAAATACCTGCATGGATTTTTAATATTGGTATTTGATCTTGGGAGGAGGACTAGGGGTCATAAAAATTTTAGCTGCTAACAAGGAGGAATCATTAGTTTAGTACAGAGCCTTATGGGCGACCAGGTAAATTTTATTACGGAAAAAATCACGATCCTCCGGTTCCCGGGTAATCAATAATGGTTGGCCCCCTTCAATCAATCAATCAGTCAATCAATCAATCAGTTTATGAATATCAATGCATGGGATCAGGAACCCAAAGGCCAATAATCAAAAAATCTTAGATAAACAGTAATTACATTTGCAGCTTGCCTTTAAATTTGAAAATCAAATGTCTTCAACTTCCTGCGAAAATCGCTCAAGTTTGTTCATTGCTTAATATGTGACGGGAGCTGATTCCGCACATGCGATATTTTGTAAGTAAATGAGTTATGATAATATCGATTGTGATAGGTGAGTTCAACAAGATGATGACCACTATTCCTTAAATCGTTAGGCGTCTTACGATGCTCGAAAAGATTATAGACGTAATCAGGTACTTTTTTCCTTTATTCATTTAAGTAGTGAGATAAGAGATTGATCTTTCTTACCGTCTATACTCGGGAGAGTGTATATTTGCAATATACAATGCTAACAGAATCGTAATCTTAGCTGTTACCTGAATTTAAGAGGGCCTTTAACGCATAGTAGCTAGCAGATTCGAGGTTATTGATCAAAGTCGTATGGGTCCTTTATAGAAGTGGACCACAGTATTCAAGGTGTAGCAGTATGTGAGCCTTGTACTTTATGAGAACAACATCCGTAGGAACCAACTTTTTTAGGGATCATAGAACTCCAATCTTGGCATAAACTTTCTTCAAGGAGGCTGATATGTGATCTTTGAAGGAAAGCTTGCTAGCGATGTGAACACCAAGAATGTTTAAGTGGTTATTTATTTCAATAGAAGAATCATCCACAAAGGGAACAGGTTCTTGAGCGGAGTAACCCAGAGTCATAACTTGGGTTTCCATTAACTGTTAAGTGATAAGAGACGAACCATAACATGTTCTAAATTCAGCTGTGCCCGCAAGCGCTTATTCCTTATTAGAACCAAAACAAGCAAAGATGGCCAAGAACTTGGATGGAATTCAATGCTCGAATTCGTTGAACGGAGTGGCCAGCTTGGTTTAAGTAACTTCTGTTATAGAAGTCGTGGATTTTATTAAATCCGTAAAGTAAAATAAATTTGAAATGTTTAAAGTATATGAATCTTCGAAACCTTCGAAACACACCAAGAATAAAGTAATTATGGCGAAGGAGCCCGAGAAATCAGCTCCAAATTTTCTTTATTTTAATCGACTCCAATTTTTTTTGGAGACACTCAGTTAATGTGCAAAACTGTAGTTACCCTAAAGAGCGCCAGATCGACTAATTGAACACTTTGCAAAGCCGGGCTGGGTTTTTTCAAGTATTCTATGTGATAATGAATACAAATTGATTTCCTGGCTAGTGCCGGAAGAAATGCTCGAAAAGTGGTTCCAAAGTTCTTAAGGAAATCAATCATTGAATGAAAGGTCATGAAGGGACACTCAAATGTTTCACGACGGAAATGGTAGTGGTTTGGTGGTTCCTCAATTGATTTGGTTCATTGCGTTGGCGAGATGGCATCAATCATCTGCATTATACAATTATTCAAGAAAAGGTGACTTCGTAAACGATTTGTACGCTAAGAATTATTGTGTCAACGATGACACAACCAAAAAATTACATAGCCTATGGCTAAAAGAAAAAGTTTGAATTTTGAGAGTGGTAAGAAACAATAGAGGTAAATTTATGACTGATTATTGGAGATCCTTAACTCGTTTCCTGCCAACCTCTTACCTCCTAAAATTTTATTTCTCCCTCCCAGCTTTGCTAAACATTTCCTTCTCAACAAGCTCGAAAACACTGCACTTGAGGAAGGTTTGAAGCGAAAATTTGACAAAGAAGACGATCCATAGAAGGTAACGTCAACAGTATTTTACATTTAAAAAAAATTTGATAGGTTGGGTCTCTGAAGTCCCTCTTGGTGAAATTTCACGCTTATAGGGCAAAAACTCTGTAACCAGCTTAAACTTTTCACAAAGAGTGGATTTTTTCGCACTATAAACCAACAGTATTTCAATTTTCTTTCTCCTAGAACAAAACCTGTGGGATGGATTTCCTTACGCTTTATTAATTTTATCATGATTCTCGTTACCTAAAATAGAAAAAAGAATAACATTGCATTCGAGGTTGAGTGAATTTTCTTTCTGATCGCATTCATGTTCTATTTTTTGGATGTTTATTTTACAGCATCATTATCCAACGGAGAGATTTATCCTTGAGCGCTGTGAAGACACAACAAACCCAACATGAATAGTTGCTTTCATTTCCTCGAAAGCACCGAGAATCTGATCGATGCTTATCCATACTACGTTGTGTTTTGGTTTATTTTTACCACCATGTCTTTCTTTCTAACAATTATTGGCAATTCTATCGTCATTTACGCCTTTTGGACTGCCCCGAGCATAGCTCCTCCCTCAAGAGTTTTCTTTATCAATTTGGCTGTGTCCGATTTGCTGGTTGGTTTGGTCGTCCTGCCCCTCTCTGCAGTCTATAGGGCAAGAATTTTTATCAGATTAAACAGTCAGAGTAATGATTATGATAGTAGCCTGGAGTGCGACATCACCAAGACAGTGGGGTTCTTCGCTCTTTTTCTCTCTGGGGTATCCCTCAACTCTATCGCAGTCATAGCTGTGGATAGATGTCTTGGGCTGTCACTTCATCTACGATATCACGAGTTGGTAACCGCAGTGAGAGCACTCATCGTAGTAGCAACTGTCTGGATTTGGTCTTTTTCTATGGCTCTGACATCAATGGTTTTTTCTTTAAAGGATATTGTTAACTCTTCTTTCATATTATTTAAAATTGTAATTACTACATGCGCTTATATTAAGATCTACAAAATAGCGCGTCATCATCAGAATCAAATCTTCGACGAGGCTGAAATTGAAAATCAAAATAACCAATTGGTACGATTTGTGCGCGCGAGTAAGCTGGCGTTTAATTCCCTGTATATATTCGTAATAATGCTTATCTGTTACGCTCCCTATGGCATCATCTCTCCTTTTTTCCGTAAGTCACCTAACCCCAGTCCATCATTAGCCTTGGGCATGAGTGTATCAATTTCTATAAGTCTGTGTAATTCCTGCATAAATCCATTGGTGTATTGCTGGAAAATTCGTGCAGTTCGCGTGAGAGCCATCAACCTTCTGACGCGTGTACTTCCAGGATGGAATACTTGAAAGCAGATCTAGAAAGAGGAATATTCAAAGTACTTTGTTACAAGATATTTAAACAAGCGAACACACTGCGAAGCGTTAGTTTTAAATAATTGGAAAAAAAAGTTATGATTGTTAATAGAAAAGTGTGAAAGCCCACGTCATTTAAATAAGTAACATTTGGTGAATCAATGTTTGACGGCTAAATATTGAGTCACCATAAAATTTAAGTACAATGCCGTTATAGGTAGGTATCGAATTTTCGACTGATATCTTGCCTATCTCCGTAGAGCATTGAGGCTGAATGATACGCATTGCCTACAAGGCTAGCCGCTATTGGAATTGATTTATCAATAAAGCGGGTCTGGTTACACTACAAAATCTAAGAGCCACCTAAACTTAAAGGTTATATTTAGGTGACTTCATCATCGTCCTGATCTTCTTTATCAATTTTCATCATTGCCTCTAAAATTGGAAAATTTCATAACATTTCAGCTTTCTTTCCATGTCTATTAATGTCATCCATGTCTCTGTGTTAGCACTAGCCTACTAGCTTTCATAAACTAGTGTAGCTCATATGAAGTGAATATGAAGAGCGATCTTCGCCGCAATAAACACTTCTTAGCGGTAGTGAAAATATGACCTGAAAAAAACTCAGGCCTGTACAGGATTTGAACCTATGACCTTTGCGATACCAGTGTAGTGCTCTTCCAACTGAGCTTACAAGTCAAGTGGGAACTGGTTATTATGTTGGTTCGTAATAAACCCGTGAAATGATGAATAAATGAGTTTTTTCAGGTCATATTTACACAACTACCTATAGCTCATATGGTTTAATAACTATGAATTAGAATGAATGTTTTCAGTTTAATTTATATTAACCTGTTGTGTTGCATCAAAAAACATTGTGCTTTGCATATTTAAGTCTAGACTGGCATATTTTAAGGAAGTAATGTGTGTATGTCCCAAAATAATGTGTGCATCGCGAGGTAGCTTAATTTAATTAACATCAGCATTGTATAAACTACTTTCATATATCTGTCAGACGTGTAAAATGAATTTTAGTATTTTAGGGTCTGTGTTGTAAAAATGAACATTAAGTAACAGAAAAAAAAAAATTATCACCATTCTCCGTAACTGCCTTCTATTAGTTGTCGTCATTGTCATCTGATTGACATCGTCATAGTTACCATCATCATGATTATCTTCGTCGCCTTCTGTAATGGTTTCGTAATCGTTATCATGATCAATGCTATCTTCAGCAGCATGGCAATTTTTATTGTGTAGCAAAACTTTTGCCGTTTGTCAAGAAAGGTTTCAGATAATAGTGCTGCTGTTCTCGAGATAGGCATAAAACTAACAAATGAGAAGGTCGCGCTTGCTCAAAAAATGTCCTATTGCAATTCCAAGATCCAGCGAGAAGCAAATTTTAGACTATGCAAGCGGGGTCGAGAAACTATACCTTTGGCGGATCGCATTGTAGTCAAGAAATTTTCTTTAATGTTATCTCTAGCCACAGGCTGCCCAAGCATACTGCGTGTTATTTCAGGGCTTAAAGGTCTTTGACAGGAATATCTGACGTGCTGAATATGTGTATCAACTAGGGTAGTTCAAGCCAAAATTTTCTCGGTATGACATCTATCCCTTTGTTTATTGGTATTAAAATCATTCCTAAGTTCACTGAAGTTGATATTCCCTTAATATTGCACGATTGTGGGATGAATGAAGATTGAATTTTAAGCATTCGTGTGTGCCATAGGATATGTAAGTGATAAAAAATAATAGTGATAGCAAAATCGAGAAATGTTACGTAAAAAGCGTCACTTACCTTTACTCCATGGCCACCTAGTCTATTCTGGCCATCCTTTGTACCGAGTGTTGTGAACTACAAAAAATAAGAATGGCAGGTCAGCTCAACCGGTCCCAAGCGCCAACCGTCGTCACTCAGAGGCCAATAAAGTTCACAGAAAAGTCGACTGATCTCCATCAAAGAGCCACCAGCGAGAGCAAAGAGCAAATATCTACCTGTTCGAGCAGCAACAGTTTCCAAATTCTCCTGCATTGGCCTGAGAGACACTCCGCTTTTCATCCATTCTGGCCTTATTCTTAATTCTTTTGGGAGGGATTCAAAATATCGGTCGACTTACACGCACCGGCCACCCGCAAAAGCGACAACCCTCTCTTGGGAGAGCGTTATTTGATTGATTAAAGGGGTGAGTTTCCAAAGAAACTGTGTTGCTGCGTCGGTGGGAGAGTATAACAACGTAATTTGGTTTTACCAACTAAGTTGATAACGTAAATTGGCCACAGTAAAGAATTTTAAAGGCGACGTTTCAAGCGTTTGCCCTTCGTCTCTCGCTCTGACGAAGGGCTAACGCTCGAACGTCAGCTTTGAAACTCTACTATTGCAAATTTACGTTACCGACTCAGTTTATAAAACCAAACTACCTTGTCATTTATTTGATCAGACGAAGTCGCTAAGCTTTGTTATCATATCGCTGGCAGTGCCCGTGGGCAGTGTGAAGCGAATCCTGTTCTCTGATTGGCTACCTAAATGGGCAAGATGACCCATCTCAATGTTTGCGATGTAGTCGCAAAAAATCGGCAGAGGGAGGTCAAAACGAAGAAAACATAAAGAACTCACCCGGGTTTACTGTACTACAAACACAGTTGGCTTTCTCGCCCAGCTCTCTTAAAAAATCTCGTTCAGTCAACATGGTTGGATATTAGCCTGGTTTTTTTTTCCCGCTTTTACGGACCTCGACTTTGTTTCGGTTCAAAGGAATTTTTTTTCTGTTCGCAAGAACAGAACTTGGCTAATATCCCGCCATATTGACCTCACGCTTGGTCAATAACGCATACATATTGAAATCCTTTAATAACACCAACATATTGGTCAAACGGCTGCGCATGCGCACATAATTTCAAGCAACTTGAATAATTTGCCATTGTAGACACGGAGAAGCCTCAGGGCAGTATATATTTTTTTTTGCGATTTTTAAGGAAAGTTCGAACTTCTAATTCTAAGACTTATATACGTTGTTGTTTTATACTCTCCCCACTTTGTGCTAGTTTACACTCTCATATATATATATTTTTTGCACTTTCCACGGCGGCGCAATGAAGTCACTCGTAAGCTTGGTCGTGCTGGCGGTAGTAGTTTTTCCATGGTAGAATTGCCGGTAAACATCGAGGAAAATGCGTGAAAAATGGAAGAACCAGAGCTACAAAAGATAGTTGTGAGGATAGCAGGGTATGGTTTTCAGTCACAGTAGACTGGGAAGAACTGCAGGGTTAGAGAAGGTTCCGTTATCTGCCTTCATAACCGAAAAGAAGCGCCTTCTTTAACATCTAATTAACAATTGAAATCGTACTGTTATTCAGCTTTAGTGCATCATATTATTATGTCAACAACTGCATCAAGGCATCACAAATTCGAAAGCAAAAAGAACCGCATTAAGTTTCAACTCAGTTGTAACTGGGTGCATTTTGTTTGCGAGAAGTGTTCTATTTGCTTTAAATTTGTGATGTCTAAACTCTTAGCATTTCATTTCAGAGTCTGTTTTCAAATGCCATTTCGCAAAGGTTGTAGACATCATACATCACTGGATGCTTGACACCAATTTCAGACTCTAAGGCTACATTGGCTTTCTCGAGCATTTGTTCATCTGTTAGCGAGGCATACTCTTCAGCTAGCTCTTCATTATCGTCAGGCTCGTCGTCATCGCTGGAGGTTTCCTTGCCATCTGATTGCTTTCTCTTCGTAGAGAGTCGCGAAAAAAATCTCTGGATTTGAACTTTGAAAGCCATTCCATTCTACCAAACATTAGTGAGCCATCGGTGTTGCGAGCATTGCGCATATCGTTAGCTACTTGTGCAGGATCTTCCTTCCACCCAATTTTTTTACCAATGTCAAACTTTTTCTGTAAGTAGCCACGGACTTTGTCAGAAAAGCGTCTTTGTCCGCCTTTAGGTTTGTGAAGTCCCCAACCCATTCGGAGCGAGTTTACCGCGGTTGTGGCTTCAATTTGAACTTCTTTCTAGAGGCGAGACTTTCTTTTGAAACCTAGTGGAATACTCTGGAAACGCTGAACCCAATCGATTCCTAAGTGGTCATACACGCTCCTCTGTACCGTCTTCACTGGGCTGTGATCTGCAGTCACACTTAGATGAGTTTCCAGCTCTGCACGACTAAGGAATTCCTTTGAGCACTGGGGATGGGGACATTCGAAGGTGCCACCGACATCGTCAATTCTCCCGCAGTGCTTGGTCGTCTTATCCATCTCTCGTGGCTTTCATCGGGCATAAAATCCTGTCGCAAACATCCTTACCATGCTGTGGTTCCGAAAAATCATATCTCACGACGTCAATTCCCTGACGACTTCCGACATCTCGGAGGGCCGCTAGGAGACTGCTGTTGTGATAACAACCCGCTTCGTCTGATCTTAGGTACACCTTTGTAATGGTTGAATGGATTATTTTTAAGACAGTGATGAGTTGCTCGAGGATTGAGGGAACAGCGAACCAATCCTGGCTGCAACTGTTTAACAGGCGAGCGCAAAAGGAGACCTCTAGCTTCCCTCCTTTCTTGACAACGACACTGCATAAATGCCAAGTTATGCCTCTCTTTACAAACCACTCTGATTGCTTTCCGCGAAACTTTATTTGCAAAAACTTCATTGCCTAGTCAGATAATATAAAAACGTTGTCCTCCGGAAGAGAAAGCAGGATGCTTTGCTTGCATTTTTTCTGATTGTGGGCGCGCATAACGTGTGCCTTCCACTCATTGACTTTCTCTTCAGCGACAAGTGCATCTTGTCGAAGATCGTCCTCCTTCCCTTAAATATTTATCTTGGAGGAATACTTTTCAATGGCAGAA